CAGACGGGGAGTTTGAAAAAAAAGAATTTGACAAGACGACGTAAGGCGTTTTCTCTGCTTCTCTCTCTCTCTTTCTCTCTCTCTTCTCTGCGGGAATTGCTGTGAATTAAAATGTGTTTTCCAGTTAGTATTAGCTGTCTTCAAAGTAAAAAAAAAAAAAAATATATATATATATATATATTTGGTAAGTTTGTGTGACTCAGTTTTGGCACTTTGATCAGTCTCCATGGTTGCACAACAGTCAGCTTGCCTTGCTTGGTCAAGCGGGGTACATACATACTCAATGTTCACATCTTAACCAATTTTTGAAATGTGAGAGGCCGCTGCACATTGTTCGGGGGAAGAAAGTTATGTGATCTTTCTGCTCTAATTGGGTGCGGTGGACTTTAGATGACCAGTACAGCACATCACGCTCATAACGAGACATGTATCTATGCTGACAATTGCGAATTTCCTTCCCCTCGAAACGAGATGCCTGTCACTGTACCAAGATTGACCTGTAAGAGGCAACACGGTGCCACAGGGCATTCAGACTGCCATTTAATTCAGTCCATTTCTCTGTCCCCTTCCAAACCTCATTTGTTACCACAGAATGTCTATTAGGAGAATAAAGATCGAAGGGGAAATTCACACCTATACATCTTCCACCTCCTTGCATGCAGCATTACAACAATAAGGACTCACCTACACTACTTTCTCTTCTTGAGTTTAACAAATAGCGGAGGATGTTTAAAAAAAAAAAAAAAAAAAAAAGCAGTGCCGACTTATTGATCCAGCACTGATTTAGCAATGTTTCATGATACCCTGTGGACTTCACGGCAATATGCTTTATGTAACAGCCAATGTAGCTCACGCGGGTAAATGTGGGTTGAAGGTTTTACACACACAAAGTGTTTGCAGTGAAGGGGTGCACATAGAATCACTCCCGCTGCGGTGAGGATGTCAGGTTGCTTCTGAGTCGATGAAGAGGCAGCAGGAGAGTGCTGGGAGTTTTAACGCGACGACTTTTCGTGCACCCACCATACTCTGGTCATCCTCTTTTAGAGCTGGGTGAGCCACACATCATAGCGAATGATGCAATATGTCACTGTCATGGAAACAAGACTTTTTGAAGCCCACCAACATGCATTCACTATGTTGCTATGAAACCAAGGACTTTTTATGATTTTTTTTTTTTTTTTGCATACATATTTATCATTCTTTTCAAATATGCAGTTAAATAAATGACAGTTTAAAAATGTTGCCTTTGTATACCGGCACAATGAATTTAAAAAAGAGACTGCAGACTCTTAGTTTAAATTGAACAGGATTATACAGTATAATTAAATTGTATGTTGGATTTTTTTTTTTTAACAAATTATGTTTATTTGCAAAAAAAAAAAAGATTTGGGGGGTTCATTAATAATAATATTAATGACAATAAATACTTTATAATTATTTCTCCATCTCAAAAGACCAATGCCATGGACATGGTAAGGAAAATATCGAGTCAGTTGCACATGGACATGAGTGCATATTCCCCTTGATGTGCATTCCAAAAGAACTGCACTGAAAACGTGACATCTGTTGTTCTTCATTGCACTTAACAAAACATACAAACTAACGAACAATTAAGGTCATTTGCAGATGGCAGCTTCCATCCAGCAAGAAAGGAACAGAGAAAGGAGAATTGGGGGTCGGGGGGATGTTTTTGCCATCATCCGATGAATGTCAGATAAGATCTATTCACATATTCGCAGATGTGCAACATGCTTGCAGTACAGTATATGCAGAGCGCATCTTTTCTTTCAAATTCAGCTTGACTCATCCTTTGTGTGGGTGCGGCCATTTATTTCCTCTATTTGTGTGGTTTCATATTTTCCCTTAGATTGAGAGCCCAGAGGCACAAGTTGTCATGCAGGCTGTATTTTATACTACAGTCGCATGCTGGATACATGCGTGCGTGTGCGTGTGTGTGTTACCTCAATGCACCTTTCGTCCCTCTGAGGCCGTTCATGATAAACGAGAGGTTCAAGTTGAATATCACTGCTCTCCATCACCCTCATCAGTGTAATTACGGGTTTTTCCTCCACTTGATTGGTTTCACATCCGCATACCGATTTGTTCTTCTCATAGTGTGTGTGTGTGTGTGTGTGTGTGTGTGTGTGTGTGTGTGTGTGTGTGTGTGTGTGTGTGTGTGTGCATTCTTCTGACAGGTGAGCTGATTTGTTGGCCACTGTGTTTCTCCGTGTGTGTGTTTCGAGTATTTCTCAGCTCAGTAATCTTGCTCGTCAAGTCGCTGTTATGGCAAATTACACTTGGCTCAGTCCCAGAGCTGGGGAGGCAGAACGCTTCTTCCTCCCTGACGCCTTGATAAGCGTGACAGGTCCTCAACACCTCGATGCGTGGAGCATGTCCCGTAAACTAAATGACCTGGAGTTACAGTTTTTGGTCAAACCTAGCTGCAACATGTTAACCCAGCCACAATCTCCACATGCATCAATAAATGCAAATTAGCCAAGGAATCGGTTGTTTAAACGCAGTCTTCAAACGGTGAGCCACTTTTGTTTGTCAATTGGTTCGTCATAATAAACCCGCCCCTGGATGAGCCAACAATGTTTATCTGTAATTCCATTGTGAACCAGTAGATGGCAATGCACTATTTAGTTTGACTGTGTAAATTGGGCAAAAGAAGATGACTGAAAACAGATAGTACAGTGGTTCAGCTCATCAATTCCTCTTTAATCCTGATTTTACGCCTACAAAAAATGGCAGCAGCTCTGGTCAGCCGGCACAACAATGGAGTCACGGAGCATGGCCCACTCAAATTCGATGTCACCTGCCCCGCAACATTGTCAAAATTATATTGAAGGTGGGAGTTGAAATTCCTTGTAACAGGGGACCGTGTCAGATGTTGCGAACAAACTCTTGCAATACCTTGTAGTCGGCCAGGTCAGTCCAGCTGTCTTCACCAGAGTGTGCAAGACATGAAGCCCTAAAATTCAACAAAATGTGTGATGCATCACAACACTAAATAACTTAATTAGAATACATTGAGGCTGCTCATTCTTCCACATGAGACGAAACATTATTTTATTCTATAATAATCATGTCGTTTCTTTCGCTAGGCTACATGTTAACTGTCGAAGTAAGAACAATACAGCAATTCCCCACACCCATACCCCATATTTTTCCAGAACATGTATTAAAATCACCTTCGTATACACTCCCAATGGGAAGGTGGTAAGAATGATGGTTGACAGATAAATATAAACAACAAGAAAGAAACGGACAAAACTCATCTCATATTAAAAAGGGCATTGGTGTGCATCCCCCCCCCCCCCCCAAAATAAAGAGGCTGCTGCGAAGCTCATTCCCCCCCGCTCCCCACTTCCCTCTCCCTGGCATCGAAATGCAGCACACGCTGTTTGAAATGCATTGAACGCGTTGAATTAGTAATGTCGGGAGACAAGCTGAGAAAAGAGGACAAATGCTAGGATGCCTTCTGGATTCCTTGGCTATTAAAGCCTTGACGTGAGCAAATAGGAAACCTTAGAACGAAGAGGCGAATTACAATGACAATGGTTGCAGAGTCTCTGAGTCACCAAGGGTGCAAGTGCATACATTGCGCTAAAACGGAATCATTTCCGATCTCTGTTTGGTTACCCTTCACAACCTCCGGTGTGTTCCTAGTTCGGAACCTCGTATGACGTATGATGAGAAAAACAACTCCGTTTTGGTAATTGAAAAGAGGAAGAAGAAGAAGATGCGTCGAGTGGCTCTTCTTGTATATCTTATACGTCAAACATATCACCATGCGATTTTTCCCACATAAACCAAATGACAATATGTTCTTGCTTAGACTGCACCTTCATTTTTTGCAGTAGAATCTGTTCCGCAGTCAAACTGTCCCCATGCGTAAAACCTTTCGGTAACATTTCATCGAAGTGTGAAAATACATTGAGTTAACTGAAAATAACGACTGCTATAGGTAATGATAAATGCGTGCCTTGGTGGAATTTTCTTTCTTGTGGTATTTTGGCAGATGCCGAAATTCAAAACGGGCCACTGGTCGTCGCTAACGATTAACCGAATTCAAAGGTGCAAGAGAGGCACCTGCCGAAATTCAAAACGGGCCACTGGTCGTCGCTAACCTACCCATTGAATTCGGTGCAAGAGAGGCACCCAGTCTTTGATGTTGCCAAAGTGGGTACCGACTCGCTAGAATCCATGCAGAAGATCAAAAAGCGCGTATAAAGTACCTTTATACGGAACTGCAAACAGACTTGCCTGGTGATGTCAAATTGGCCACGGAGGTCGCAGTGGCCACTTGGACATCTCCTTCCAACTCGATTATTTGTGTCTGTGTGTCACCCCAACCTCCCCAAAGCTGTGCTGTAGCCATCGAGGGTGATTCGAAAATTATGATAAATATAATGATGACGATGATGATCGTAATAATGTGTTCAATTAATTGATTCCCAGACTGATTCAGAGGCTCCTCATGCACGCCGTTGTCATATTGATGAAGTCGATAGATACTTCAATTTGATTGCGTGAAAGCTTTCTTCCACTTGACCGAGCATTCATTCATTGACAAATAACACCATCGGCTGCCTCGTTGGGTCAGTTGCTGTGAATTTGTCATGACGACTGTAATTTTGTTGAAACGTGCGTGGGTTGCAGGCTAAATTTGTTTATGAGCTGTGGCCGGGAAGATAGCTGACCTATCACAGCATTTGTAAACACATGCTGTGGGACATCACTTGAGAGAGATGGATACCTGATGCTGAATTATTTAACAAGTAGCAGATGTGAAGGAGAACAGGGCACGATGTGATGCAAACGGGGGATATACTGTACTACGGAATGCCTGGACTGCGATTTTACTAGTGTGGTTAAACTTTTGGTTAAATTTTGCTATTAATGGGTTAGTTTTCTCCATCTTTATTTTGGGTGTTTTTTTTCCCAGCAAGATAAAAAAAATAGTGCTTACCAAATGATTTCTCTTCTCTCTGCAGAGGCAAGGAGCCGGGCCTGCAGCTGGCAACAACAAAACCTCCGGACAAGGTAAGCTGCATTCTCATTCTTGAGGTCAAACAACACAGCAAACTTTTAGCAGCATCGGATAATAAAGTGCATTTGGGAAGCATCGCTCGGCACACTTAGATGTTGTCACTTTCTGTTTACCGCAAAGGTGCAGGTGACAAGAAACTAAACAGGTGATTGAAAAACTCTCTTCAACCTTGATTTCAAGGCAGTCTGAAAGGCAACCATTGTCGACAACAAAGCGCCACTCTGGTTCATTTGTTTTGGGATTTGATTTTATTGCATTCACAGAATATCAAACACATCACAGTAGAAGAGAAGTTTTAATGAAATATAAACATCCTCAACCCACAAACAACCCCCCCCAAAAATGCATATGCCAGCAAGTATATTGCTTGTGCACTTGCATCATGTAGAGTGAGCGGGCACATCCCTGAGCAATCTTCGAGCGTTGTTGCTTATTTAAGAGTGGCCTGGCATCCCTCTAGAGCCTGGTTCCATTTTCACATTTTCATCGGGCCTGAACCCAAAGTCTAACAAGCCGCATCAGTGAAAATAGTATATAGTAATAACAGTTATAACAACTCGTATCTGAAAACATTTTTTTTCGAAATGAAGGCAATAACTGGGCGATTGCAGGAACAAGGAGAGAGAATGTCAGGCAATGTTTGAATGACGGGGACGCAAGGATAAGTCCACCGGATTTTATTGGACACGATGGTTCATGTATTCATGATGAGCTTTTAAAGGCGCACGCCCAATGAGTGACAGTGACACAGGCTGAAGGACGGCTGCCATCACACACACACACACACACACACACACACACACACACACACACACACACACACACACACACACACACACACACACACACACACACACACACACACACACACGCACGCGCGTACGTTCTGGGACCTGAAGGCTTGCCATCAGATCTGATTACAACTGACCATAGCAGGGTGTCACATCATTGTCGACATGGCAGTGACATACAGTCCACAAATTTGAAAAAGAGCTCATCTGTCACTTCCTGGTAATATGTTGTCCCCCGAGGTTAAGAGTGAGAGCAGGACAGCTGGGCCATCCATCAGCAGGCTACTGTGAGCACTGTTATTTATTGAAAATGACACTTTGTTCAGCAAAATAAATGTTGCATAGATGGGACCTTTCAGACCGTGTTCTACTGTTGCCTCATACAGACGCACATTTTTCTCTGAAGTCACCTACCCTTGGTTGGAGTATGTGGCCGTGATTTGCAGCATTCTCATAAAGTACTTTGAGCTCTGACGGTCTGACTCAGTCAGTGGTGTAAAGTGAAGACACAGTTGTGATGACTCTCAGCTTGAAATCCTCTAATGGGAATATGCAGCACGATTAGATTTGCTTAAGCCTGAGGGAGCGCAAAAAAAAAAAAAGAAAAAAAAAAGAAAATCACTAATCATGTTTCCTGTTCATCTCTCTGTCAACACACCAAAGCAGAAGCAAAGCCAACAAAGACATCGACTGGTAATATCTTTTGTAATTTACCGTGCTGCAAATTGCAGCAGAGATTTGGATTCTGCTGCTATTCCACTCGTACATTAAGACAGATAATCACTTCATGCAAAGCGAGGAAAACGGTCTATACGGCATTGTCATTTGGGGTGTGTTGAAAAAAGTCATTTGCATACTTGTAACGCATACATTTTCTGTGTTTTGCATACTTTTGGAAAAACGGGGTTAGGAGGGTTACTTTAAAAAAAAAAGTATTCCGATACAGTTACTAGTTACCTGTTTAAAAATGTAGTTTGTAATGTAATCTAATGTAACTTGATGTGGGGGTAACGTGGGATTGGTTCCCATTCAGTGACGGGCGGGGTGGATGTAGGTGTTGGGTGTGAATGGTCGTTCGCTTCAATCCCTTGGTCTAGTACACAGGCGGACACACGCACGCACGCGCACACACACACACACACACACACACACACACACACACACACACACACACACACGCTCACAATTTTGAAATAATGATACGTGCGTGGCATCAACTGCAGAAAAAAACAAAACAAAAAAAACCGATTTTATTCCCATTGACAAGTTTAGAAGCTGTGGGTGATTTGTGACAGGAAGTGGTGAAGTATTTACATTTTCCATTTTCTGATCCGCTTATCCTCTCAAGGGTCGTGCTGGAGCCTATCCCAGCTGTCCTCGGGCAGTAGGCAGGGGCCACCCTGAACTGGTTGCCAGCCAATCGCAGGAACTCAGGAACAAAAATGCTAAATATAAAGAACTGGGGAAAAAAAAATCACCTGATTTGTACTGTAAGTGTTTCGTTAAGATTAGACAAAGAATTTTGGAACACCAGAAGCTGGAGGTTTTCCGTTATAATATTTGATATATATCTTCGATATTACTATTGTAGGAAGTAAATATTTGTACTTTCCACCAATGCTCGTCACATGACATACAACATAATGCCACCGTTTGTGCCGCTTCTGCATGGGCAAGTCTGCGAGAGCAAGCGCTCCTCCTCTCCGGTTTTGAATAGGCCCAGGGATGATTCGACTTAGCTCACCTTAAGAGATCAAAGTTATCCTTTTTATAAATAGATTGCAGTGGGCTCTCAGTGATGATGACCCAATTCCTGCATCCTTTTTTTTTTTTTTTTTAATTAGCTTTACTGTACTCGGTTGTTGCTGTGCTGAATTCAACTCATACTTGAGGCAGTCGCTGCAAGAAGGACTCGATGATCATTTTGCATCAGCCCATTTTTGAGTCTTGCAACACGCCACTTTTAGTCCACAGGTTACACACGTGCATCCGCCTGAAAGCCAAGTAAAAGTTGACGTGGTGTTAGCAACCAAGCCCGCAGTGGTAATCAATATAGTTCTTCACGTCCCTTCGTGTATTGATTGCTGCAGGTCTCTCTCACCCACACTGGCACTTCAAGGATTTTGGAGGGCGTCTGTTTTCTCGTGCTGACTTTCAACTAGAATCACAAAAACAGGCTTCCTACAATGCATAAACAAACACTTTTGTATGGAACGCATTTTTTTCCAGCACAAATATACATTCGATTTGTGGGAATATGCAAAGATTTTACGCATTTGGTATTTTTCTTATTTATTCCGATATTTGCAGGCTTTTTCATTGTGATCAATTCAAACTGATGCGCTGGGCCTGCATGTGAACATAATGCAATCCTAAAGTTCATTTGCTTTTGAATTCTATTCTTTGCACAAAACATCCACATTAGCATCCAGGCAGCTAAACTTGAAAGAAATTCAAAAATAAATCCATTCGTCTTTATGCATCAAAGCCAGCTTTCAAATGCATACAGTGCACCTTCTATAATGGAGTGTACTACTGAAATATATTCAATGTATGTGTGTGTGTGTGTGTGTGTGTGTGTGTGTGTGTGTGTGTGTGTGTGTGAGGCAGATAATGTGTCATTCCTTTTTGCGCTATGCCCCTGAATAAATAATAAGAATATATTTTCCTTCTTCTCTTGGGCTTCATTATTTTTGTGATTCGTTTTTTACAGATTATTCCATCAATAACTCAAGCAATGTGATGAAAAATTATTTTCAAAAAGTGCATGTGAGGCACAGGTGTTGTTGTTACCCGTTTGGAATCGCCATCCTTACGTTCCACTCTGTGATATCGGTCCATTTAGAAGTCGAGTGTGTGGCTTCCAAACGTTATTCTTTTCTTGGTGACTGATGTGAGAGTCGGCGAATGAGGGAGCAGAGTTGGGTCTTGTGAGCGCAGTTTAGCAACTGACTGTGCTATTCTGTTTGTTCAACAAAGCAATTCAATGTGCACCGGCCACTGTTTGTATCCTTGTGTGGCTTCCAAACGTTATTCTTTTCTTGGTGACTGATGTGAGAGTCGGCGAATGAGGGAGCAGAGTTGGGTCTTGTGAGCACAGTTTAGCAACTGACTGAAAACTGGCTCACCAGTCTTACTATTTATGTGTGCATTGTGCTATTCTGTTTGTTCAACAAAGCAATTCAATGTGCACTGGCCACTGTTTGTATCCTTGACCACTTCAGTTCAGGAAGTTCCAGAAGAAGAAACGTGACGAAAAGTCGTAGTGGGCGGCCACTGTGACCACACAGTGACATTTGCATGAGTCGTATCTGTTTGAACTCCACTCGTTGTAATGGAGTTTTGGGGAAGGCCAAGGAACTGAGCAGCCTCTTAAACATATGTCTGTGAAAGGAAAAAAAAACACATACACATTCTATTATTCCAGTTGTATTTATTATTAATCACCTGCTGTATTTGGAAAATATGAGAACCGCTTTTTTTTTCCTTGTTGTATTTGTCTATTAGATCATGAAGTAGTGTTTGTGATGGGATTTTTGGGGGGTTTCGTTCCAGCCTCATTAGTTCCCAAATGAATTGATATTGTGTTAGTCATTGGAGCAAAAGGTGTGTTTGAGTGACGATGGTTTTTATTAAAATTAGCCTGCATCACATTCTAGCAGACCCGCATGTGCACACGGAATGAATAAAGACTGTTTGTGGAACAAGCTCCTTGTGTTTGTATGGTGTATGTATTTCAAAATTCTGTCATAAATCAGAATTGCACTGTGGTGAAGGTTTGGTTCCCAGACGGTGTCTTAAACACGTTGTATCAAGCGACACGTTGCATTTGGAGAATAATTACGTAGTACATGACAATTTATCGACTTCCGACTTTCCAAACAAAAAAAAAACAAAAAACAAAAACAGGAATCTCTGTCCAGGTAACAGTTAACTGGTGGCTCTCCTTTCAAAAAAAATAATGGAAATTCGATGCTCATTTAAATAAAAGCTGAATCCCAAACATGAAATCACTGACAAGCACACGTTAAAGAAAAGAAAGCCTTGCACTTTATTCTTGGTGGACAAAATGACAAGCTGCAGTCTGTCTGCACGTCGTTCACATGCAGAGGTAGTCGACATTGTGATGCGTCAAACTATAAATAGAAAAGCTCTTTGGATGAAGCTTTGGCTGAATCTCGTCCATTCTAAAGTGTGCTGACCCCTGTGTTGAACCACTGTCTGGTTCCCCACTGAGCTCTTTAACTGGAGGCACTTTGAGAGCTGCACCGTAGCACAGAATACACTTTCATAAAGGTCGTGCATATTAAACTCGTGCTCACTTCAAATGGATTTCTGTGGTATTGTGAGCCATGAAACAGCGTTTTGGAGGCTTTTACCTGCATCTGGGCGCACTTGGCTTGGGTGTGGCTGGATCCCGTGGCTGGCTTCTTTTTTGGCTCTTCCAAGACAAATAAGAACGTGAAAAATAATGTTCCGTAAAATGAATCATGCAGTTAAGGTTAATAGTAGAGATGATTTATTTCCTCTGAGAAAAATGTATTGCAAATATGAACTTGAGTGCAAGTGTGAACTTTTCATCCTGGAATTTGAATGCGACCTGCACATCTTTCATCACAACGTGCGGTTGTAGTAGTTTGAAGCTTTCATGCATCCTGAGTAAACCGGCGGGGATTTTGGATTGCGGGCCTAATTACATGTTGATATATGCAATCCGATGTGGGGCGTTTGCGCTGGGGATGAAACTGCAAAATTCATAGCAGGCCTTCTGTTCTGCTTAGCCAGAAAACATTGGAGGGTGGTGATTGCGGATGGGGCGATTTCCTTTTGCGCTGGCGGTGAAGTGACTGCGACATTGAATGTGGATGCGCCACAGATGTGGAGCTTATCAAATGAAGGTTTGCCTGATCAGAGTGCAGAGATAAACGCGACATGTATGGAAATTCAATTTTGGTAATGTCTTGATGCTGCTGGAATCAATTTCACACCACGCGGATAGTGTTCATATTTAATCATCTATACGTAGGCTTAAAAAAAAAAAAAGTCATTTTCCTGATTGTGCCGCACATGGTTAGACATGGAAGTGTACAGTTTTGTATGCGCTCATCTTGAATCACGTCACTGACTTCTACTTACTTTCAGTCATTACATTTACATGAGTCATTAGTGGCTTGTCACATGCTACAACAGTTTGGTGAAATTAAACGAATAAAAAGAGTATGCGGCGTGAAATAATTCACCGCCTGCTTGCGTGTGCTTGAAAGATGGAATTAGTCAATGAGTTCACATCATCATCCTCGTACTGTGAAAACTCTCAAAATGGATTTGCTCTTATGCTCAGACGCGAGCTGTCTCTTGGTATTGTGCTTCCAAAAGTCCATTTATTTGACGCTTGCATAACAGAGTTGTTATTCTGATAAGTCCCTGACAGTGGCGAGTCTTGGAACTTCTCAGTATAGACAAAAACAAAAATAACTCCCCAAGACTGATAAATTCATCACATTTGCATTCTTGAAGTAGGACAAGCGCGCACACACACGCTCCCTCACACTCAAAACTGACTTCCACTCATTCAGTGGGAAGATTATATAATAATAACTTTAATTATGCCTTACATACCCACAAAAAAAGGCTCTATTTTGAAAATTGCGTAGAACAATTTAGCATTTACCATAAACTCTGTTTAGGTTTGTGAGATTAGATAATGCCTTGTCTTAAAATAATTCATTCATTCATTCATTTTCCGATCCGCTGATTCTCACAAAGGTCGAGGCGGGTGCTGGATTCTATCCCAGCTGTCATCGGGCAATCGGCGGGGGACACCCTGAACCGGTTGCCAGCCAATCACAGGGCACACGGAGACGAACAACCATCTGTGCTCACACTGCCACCTAGGGACAATTTAGAGTGTTCCATTAACCTCCCATGCATGTTTTTGGAATTTGGGAGGAAACCGGAGTACCCGGAGAAAACCCACGCAGGCACGGGGAGAACATGTAAACTCCACACAGGAAGGCCGGAGCCGGGATCGAACGCTGGACCCCCGCACTGTATGGCCTACTCGCCGACCAGTCGACTACCGGGCCCTTGGCCAAACTGCAGTGAGGTAAAAATATACCAGACAGATTATTGCACACAAAAGTAAAAGCTGAGGCGGCAGTGAGGTAACTGAATCATTGTGGTGCTATATCGAGGCGACAAGCAGTAATAAGCCTGCAAATGGCTTTTGGCAGTTCCACGTGTCCATTGAACAAAAGTAATGTTCAGAGACAACTGATGACCAGCGACCCTACAGAGGTGATGCAGAGGTGACTGCGGCTGTGGCGGTTCCACTCCACTTTCATAAATGAACGGGGGAAAGGAGCAAAGCCTGACGCAGAATGGGAGGAAAATGAAGAATGTAAACTTACATAGAAAAGTAGTAACATATCATTATCATAACTATAACGGTGAAAAAAAAACCTTGTGATTTACTACCGTCATTTTCTGGGGTGAAAATGTTTAATTGGATGCCTGCACTGGAAGGGGAAATATCCATAACTTGCTCAGAAGCTAATTGACATGGGCAGATTGAGGGCTGGGGGTGCAAAAAAGCTCAGAAGGCCATCTCAGCAAACGCCGCTGACTTACTTTGCAACTCCCAAAATATGTGATCACTTTTGATGGTATTTGACCATCTACTGTGAGCGCAAGCATACATCCGCATTCTTTGCTTCTATACAGTCCTGTTCATCGTGACAGTGTACACCTGATCTTTGTCCGCTGGTGTGCCTTCTGGCATGAATTAGTCAGTGTTCTAGGTTCGGTGTGCCTGTGAATGGAAAAAATGTACACACTGGTACAGGTTGCACGGTCACCCTTGATGACGTCTCGCTTCATCCTGTTACACAAATGTTGCTGCACAAAGTCCCAGACTCTCTGCGCCTGCTGAAAAGTCTGCAAACTCTGCTCAGTGAGCCATAAAAAAAAAAAAAAACATGTGACGTCATAGCGCCATCTGTTGACCAAGGCAAGGAAATAAGCAAGAATCTTTCGAAAAATTCTCATTGTTTTGTACAAGACTGTACACTTCAATTTGAGGTGATTCATGTGGAGTACTCCCTTTTGTGAAATCCTCAAATTTGCTTTCAGGATTAATAATTTACAGTTGATATGATATGCACATGAAGACAGAACATTGATGTCTGGGGACTGAGATGGCGGTGGGAGGAGCTTAATTCTGCAATTTTCAGGATGCTTCTGCAATAAATAATGAGAAGTGAAGAGACTTTTAACACATCACAGCATCAGGTTAATAATTTTGGAGGACACTGTATTTTGTATGTTGTCAATGTCATTAATTTATTTCAATCTACAGTCGTAGTGGTTCATCCGTGTGTTCAGTCCCGTTGTGGTTGCTTTGATTAGGACATTATTCTTCTTATTATTACTTATATACAGCATATAAAACATTTTTTGGTTTTGTTTTACTTTATACTGCCTGTCTAGTTATTTGGTTGTGTTATTTGCTTATAACGTGACTTCAAACAGACGTGATCATTTGATTGAAGGTCAGCTTTTGAAAATTGAAAAAGGCGGAAAACAATTCTAAATATATCAGATTTGATAATCACATAAGTAACACATATCAAAAAAAAGGAGTTGATTAATGCCAGTTTGCTATGTCTCTTATAAAAGATTTAAGAAAAAGGACGTCCAAACAGATGAGGTTAAGAAAAAAAAAAAAAAATCAGTAATGTTGAGTTCAAGCCACGGACTCCAAAACAGATGTGTGCAAACATGACTAAGGACTTTATTAACCAAATCATTTTCCCCATAATACCCACAAATAAAAGTGATCTCTTTATATATATTCACATTGTATTTTTTTTTAAAATTGTGACACATAAACAAAAAGAAAATGCCTTTCTTGTGGTTTCCCCGCCATGCAGTCGCCAGGAGAAGTTGATAAACATTACGATTGATCGACAATGGCGTCTCTCATCTCTATTGACTCTTCAGAGTGCTGAAAACCTCCTCGGTCGGCCGATCATCAAACGTACTTTAATCATGAAAATAAATTATGAAAGCATTGTTCACCTTCAGAGTACTTTGTGAGCTTCCTCCATGACACTTGATTATTATTATTTTTTTTATATGTTCTTATTTTCATAGTATAATAGTAATCATAATTATGACTCTAATTGTCCTTGATATAAATTCAATATCATTTTTTTCCTCTATCTCAATAATTAAATAAATCACTTTGTCAATCCTCCCGTGTCATCACTTTTAGAGTAAAAGAATAATCGAGTAGAAAATAAAAGCTGTGACATCCCAAAGAGGTGCGAGGGACTGAAAAGTGTCAAAGCAACACAGAAGAGCACGAGAGGAAAGAAATGAGAGCAAAAGAGACAGACTCAGCGAGAGAAAGAAAGAGAGAAAGAAGGAAAGAAGGAAAGAAAGAAAGAAAGAAAGAAGGGAAGAAAGAAAGAAAGAAAGAAAAGCATCACCATCAGACACATGTCAGATACGGCTCTATATACAACAAAGTGTGTTGTGGAAAACCATCCTTGGTGTGCCCGTCATCCAGCAGTGCGTCTGCAGAGTCATCCCAGTGTTATACAAGAGTGTATGACTTGGCATAGGGGTTGTTGCTTTGTTTCAGGTGTCCTCTGGAGTCCAGCAGGGACTCCTGGGAGGTGCTGAGCTTGGCAGCCTGTGCTTGGGCCAGATCCCCAGTGGGCGGGACTTCCGCTCGGACCTCACCCCTCGCCTCTCCCCGTTCCCGGACATCCCTGTGCGGGAGGGTGGACGCCGTTCCCGACTGCCACTGTTGCACCTCCCTGGGTGAGGGCACTTCCATGGGGGTGGGCTCCATCGGAGGGGGCCTCTTCAGGGTACGGCTCCTCTGGGGCTCCAGGCAGGTCTGGCCCATGGCTCCGCCTCCTGCAGCTCCTCTCGTTTCTCCCGTAGCACCGGCGGAACCTCCACCCACTCCGGGACCCGCTCCTCCGCCTGCACCGCCGCCGCTGCTCGCCCCGCCGCCTCGGGGCACGCCGCGGTTCAAAAGGAAGTCCATGCGTAGGTAAGGCGGCAAGTGCACCAGCTCTCCTCCTGAGTGGCAACAGCAAATAAATGGACAGAGAAGACAGTTGAAGACTACTGAATCAATCAATCAGACCCCACCACAAAAGGTTTCCCCTACCTCTCAGAAGTACTTCTCATATTCTTCCAATGACATGACACATGCAAACATTTTCAGTGGACAAATTTCAAAGCTGTGGGATGAAAGCTGATTATTCCAAATGTGATTTTTTTTTGTCTCCTTCACCAATGTATTCAGTTTTAAAAGTCTCCCTAAACTTTTAAATAAGAAATTAAAAATGTCTGAATTGCATTAGAGTTAAAAAAATATCTAATCAATCAATCAACCCTCCTGAAATAATCCCTTTTTCTGACAAAGACAAGCCACACAATCTACCTTTACTGTCAAACCGCTGAGATTTCATGCCGAGGGTAACTTTTACAAATTGGGCTCATGATGACATTGAGGAGACCCTGCTGCCCTTAACATTCTTTTCCTTCTCCATTGTTCCCTCTGCCGTGAGCGCGCGCTCCGAACAGGTTGAGTTCTGACATCTTTTCTCCAATTTTAGAATTCCTCTGCTTAAATCGACACCGCACCGAGAGCTGGAACTCTCATTATCGTCAAGGTTTGCACTGTGACACGGGTTCACCTCGGACCTTAAGGCATTGTGATTCAACTTACTGTGATTCTAAACTTATAGCAATCTTCACCCACTGTGAATCTATCTGATTGATGAAAAAGCAACAGAGCGAAAATGAATTCAAAATTATCAGTGCCCGAGATAAAAATGTTGATGCTATACTGTCACGTTCATCATTCACTGGATGTTGTCTACACAGCACACGCTACACAAAGAAAGAAGACATTAGCTCACGACTATGCCGCAGTCGCCTTACATCCAGTCAAACAATGACACGGAAGGACGGATTAATAGATTCACCCATATTGCAGGTTCATCTCTATTCATGCTTATAATAACAATCGATGTCCCAACAGGGATAATTCACTTGAAAAAAGAGTGTTTTGTTCATTGAAAAATAGCATTGATATCCCCCAGGCGGCAAATTGCTTAGTGATGAGCTGTGAAACGGAATATAACAAGCTTTAAATCTGCTGCCGCTCTTCAGTTCTGTGATTTGTGTGTCACAACAGCTGTTGAGGTTAAACATGATGAGAAAAGTGCGAGAAAATGAATTTTAATAGAACGCAAGCTCAGTTAAAGAGCCATTAGGAGGAAAATATATAAAAACTCTTGGACCGTGAACGATCAGACTGAAGGTGTATTACAATGTATCAAGTGGACTTTCCCTACATGTGAATTCTAAACAGAATGTAATGCTGGCACAGTATAGAGACATTCAAATATTCCATTTGACTCATGAGTGGATTTGAAGCCTTTCTGTCTCATTGAACTGTCCTGAATTGACCTCGGGGGGGTCACTGCTGACATTTCTCTGTGCAGTCTGATTATCTGACACCAGCACTGACTGTTCTATGATGCCTTACCCGGCTGAGAACCAAACAGGCTTTCACACTGACTAAGCTCCAGTGTGACACTAAAGTGCTGTTTCTGAATGGAACGTTTTAATGAGGGACATTAGAGTGACAAACAGCCTTAATGTGCCCTTGATCCCCTGGTGATTTGAGACTTTTGTCCTGAGCACTAACAGTCAAGACATTGACATTGAGAATGAGATTTGAAATGAAAGCCATGGATCGGATCACTTTACCTCACTCCTTGGTGCTGCGCGCACACACACATGCACGCACGTACGCGCACACAAAAGGATGAAGGGTGACCTGTAGGAATATTGATTTGCTCTTCATCTAAAGCTCAATTTTCAGATACCACCCCCCCGCCCCCCCAGTAACACATCAGTGTCTGATGTGTCTAACACAAAAGTTCTAATGGGCACAATACATCTTTTTGCCACCCTCCATTCAGTTACTAACCGCAGTGGTACACTATTTAAAAGCTTGACCAACAAAGAATCTTCAGTTTTTGCGGGAAGGGACGGATGTGTGGAGCACAAATATTCTATATACATGCTGAAAACAAATAATGTTGAGTAAAAAAAAAAAAAAAAAAATATATATATATATATATATATATATTTATATAAATATAAAACTGAAGGCTGTAAATGTAGGTCTGCGCTTTTGGAAGTGTTGCTCAACCCTGACAGTCACTGTATCCACACCATAACCGAGTGAGAATTGAACCCAGGCTGACTGCATTGGAAATCAGGCGACACGACCCCATCAGTGACTCATGTACCACAAGCCAGACGAGGATTGCCTTTTCAGACGAAACTGTGGCGAGGTGAACCAGCAGTGACTCTGGCACCCTGACAGAAACCAAGCGCAACTGGTGTCCTCTAAGCATCAATGCGATGACATCCTTACCGGGTCTGTGCGCTTTGGGCACGGCCATATTCATAACGCGGCTGACATCCTGAGGCTTGGGTGGCGAGGCGGTGAAGCGACAGATGCCCGACTCAGATGGCGTGCTGGAGGTCAGGCTGTCGGTGTAGTCGTTGGTCCCTGCTGTCATCTGCTCGGAGGAGGTGTCGGAAATGAAGCACTCGGTGATGGTGAACTTTGCGTGGCGGAGCTGCTCCTCCATCTTGGCGTGCTCGTAGGCTCTGGCCAGCTCCTCATAGGTGGAGGAGGCGCTCTCGGTCGACACCATGCTGCTTCGCGCTCGATCTGAGGACGGCAAGTTGCATATTAAGACAACAACACCCAAAAGCATTAGAGACTATCTATTGAATTCTGTCCTTCATATTGTCAACATATTTATTGGTTACCCACCTGTGTCCTGTGATGGGCTGACACTGTAGCTGTCGCTCTCCTTGTCCACAGATCCGGTAGCGCGTGGCGTGGGGAGTCTCCAATCCGTAGTTAGCGTGTGTGAAGAGCTGGTGGGGTGTGGCCTGTTGAGAGTCCACTGGCTGGCGTATCGGCTCCGTGCGGCGGCAGGACCGGCTTTGGCAGTGCGTCTGGCGGTGGGATCTTATGGGGTAGAGGAGTGTCAAATGTATCTTTCCATAACGATGAGGAAAAAGTGTGATTAATTACACTCATTCATGCAGTAATACGTTCGTAGTCGTGCTCGGTTTGTCAGCCAAAAGTGAGCCCAATGAGTGAATGACGCTTAATGAAGTGGTGGCAGAGTGCCTGATTGCGTAAAGAGTAATATATAGTGTTGCGATGTGAAAATTATTTCATAGGAGGAAATACTACCAAGATTAATGTGAAAGCCTCCCGAGGAGTTGTTTGTTTATTGGGGAGAGTGTGGTACAGTTTAAAGCAGGGGTGTCGAAACTTTTTCGTTTGATGGCCGCATACAGAAAAATGGAAGGGTGAAAGGGCCACGTTAAAATTCGACAACTTTTTGAAACATGCGAAAGTCACTGAAGAAAGCAAGTGTATATGGTTTGGATTGTCTACTGAATGCCATCAACCTTCTGTTAGAGGTGCGAACGCAAATAGTTGAGGAGTTTTCCAAGTTTTTGGGCGGGCCAACAGGCGTCCGTCTATCTCACAGAGTAGATCCAGCTCTGCACTTAACAGCAGCCAAATCCCATCTCCACATTCAGAACCAAAAAAAAAAAAAAGAACAAACTGTCGTAAAGTGAACATTTTTCAAACAATTACTTGAGGATCATTAATGTGATGCCTTCATAAATCCGCCACAGAGCACAAAGTGGACAAAACTATTTTTGCCTCTAAAATGGAATTCTTTGTATTCACCACAGTGCTTTGAAGATAAATTGCGTTATTCTTTTCATCACAAATGCTTTATTTGTATCTTTGAATCGTAGAGAAAAGTTGTGGAGCATATAAACAAATGTATTACTGTACTGGCAATGGCTCCTATTAATCGGACACCCTCCCTGCTCACTCTGCTCAACGTCACCTTTTTTTAAACTAACCTAGTATAGTTGCATTCATTACATTACATGTTTTATTCATAAAGTAGTGTACACTGTGTGTGTAGACTGTGTAAAATAAAAAAATGATTTTGTACTCTCAGCAAACCCCCCTCATTGTAATTTGGGAAGGGTGCGCATAACAGTTTTAGCATCGTGCATTTATTTTCGTTTGGGGCATTAAATTCCGTTTTAAATGAGGACAAGCGGCGGCATTGACCGAGCGGTAACAAGAGTGCTGATTTGGAACACTCTGACCTTGGCGGAGGCTCTTTCGACACACTATTATTGGAGCTAACAGTAGTTTGATGGAGACTCTTTTCGCAAGGTGTGACTTCACCGTGAAAAGTAAAAATTTAATAGTCTCACACATAGAGTGGAACAATATGGTATTTTTATACATTAAACATAATATTTAAGTGCATACAGTATCTGTAGTACTATGCGGTCACGTTTCACATCGAGGGACTGCACAATTATGCATAAGCGAGTGCAAGAAGGATGGGGAGGCGTGGGTGCGAATGTGTCAAGGGGAAGTAAAGGCACCACTACTCTTCATTTGTTCCGCGTCGTTGGAGCACAAACGCCAAGTTACTCGATCGCACTGTTGCCGAGTCATCATCATCATCATCATCACAGCTGGAAGTCACCTCATTGACAAGGTGACGAGTTTGCAGTAAATCACAAAGGTGAACTTTGCCGACGAGGGAAATATGCGACGAAAGAAATGACCAATTACCCGCGACTCGGTTTGTGCTGCAGTTGCTAAAAGGATACGAAATGGCTTCGTTCATGAAAATGATCGCAGCAATAAGTACAACAACAAGATGGAATATTTAGGAAAGAGGAAATAGAAATGGGCACTAACAATGGTGGGACTCACTGGTTCCGGGCCTGGCATCGGACACGTCCACCAGTGGTCCAGTGGACTGGGAGAGAGACTGGTAGTGGACTGTATGCGTCACCGTGGACGACTTCTGCTTGTTTGTGTCGCCAAAGTCGTTATCGGTCAGCAACACCGTGGATCGGTCATCTGCCGGGTCAAATGAAAGATGTCGAGCAAATATGAGAACGTGTGGGCAAATTGTATTTCTTTTTGTTCATATTCGAGGTCTTACCGATTGTCTCCATGGTGTCCCTCTCTTCGATGAGCAGCTGCGCTCTCGGAATATCGATGTGCATTCTTAGCGTCTGTTGCTGCTTGTTCACGTTTTCTGGCGTCCGCGTGTTCTTACTGTGCACATGAATGGGAGGGCGGGGGGGAGGGGGGCATGATTTGTTTTTTTTTTCCTGTTGCCTTGCATTGTACAAGGCATAGATTGGGATGAAAAGTACTCACCTCATGAGCATTTCTGCCAGGCTTTTGGCATCTGCGAAGTCAACAATGAAACTTGGGTTACGAACAATATAAAACCGTCAAAAATGATAACAGGGCAGTGGAACGTTGTTGAAGGAGACTGTTTAATCCTATGTCATGTAGGTCTTCAATGCAAATTTGATAGTTCACGTATTCCATCAAAGTTGGGATGTTAAATGAGGTTGTATTCATGTCAAAATATTTATTCAGAACAAAACTCCAAAGAGGTTTTTTACGCTCTTTCTCACATGCATACTGTACATACTTAAAGACTATTGCGCACGAGTACAGGTTCATGTTTTACCATGAAAACATCGGACAGACACACGGAAGACGGAAAGGCTTGTTATCGTGACTGACAAAAATCATTTCAATCCACAGGCCAACCTCGGAGTCTTTTGAGCCTCTGCTCCCTGCGTCTCCGCTTTAGCACCATAAGCATGATGAAAACCAGGGCGGCCACCACCAGGATAGACGTGATGGTCACCACCATCTTCAGACCTCCGCTGCCCGACATGTTATCTGAGATGGGATCGCCTGTTTTCAGCAGGGGAGGAATGGTACCTTGAAAGAAACAGATTTAGATGCATTTAAAAAAAACAAAAAAAAATGGCTTTTTTTTTTTTTGTTGTTTCTTTTTGTGGAATTGTGCCATAGACCAAATCATTCTTAAAAAAATTAGGTCTATTCGTTTTTTAAATTTGAGAAAAATAAGACTGTTCACTTTCGGGTTATATGGAATTGTAGATCTTTGGAACTATTTAAGAAAAGTCCAATACAATTGTGTAGACTGCAAATCCTGTTTGGACAGTGAATTGAATCACATTTAAAATGTAAACATTTTCTCAATTGACAGCATTTAATGCATCTCAGAAGGATCGGGCGTTTTTTCTACGATTGCTCAACTTAGAGTTTTTTTTTTTTTTGTGGAATTGTGCCATAGGCCAAATCATTCTTTAAAAAATGAGGTCAATTTGTTTTTTCAATTTGAGAAAAATAAGACTGGTCACTTTTGGGTTGTATGGAATTGTCGATCTTTGGAACAGTATTTAAGAAAAAGTCCAATACAATTGTGTAGACTGTAGAAATAAACCCGTTTGGACGGTGAATTGAGTCACATTTAAAATGTGAACATTTTCTCAATTGACAGCATTTAATGCATCTCCGAAGGATCGGGCGTTTTTTCTACAATTGCTCAACTTAGAGAAGAAATTTTGCCATGATCCGTGTGAGGCTCGTGTTGAATGTTTGCTTTTATTGAGCTGTTGCAACTAATATGGGCATTCATTTTCTTTTTTTAGAGTAAATCATTCTCGTAAAAGTCTTGGTTTTTTTTTTTGTTTTTTTTCTTTACATGAATTATCCGTGCGTGATGACTTGCCTTGAACCTGCAGGTTAAGCGTGATCTCATCTGAGCCCCAGTTGTTGCTGGCCACACAGCTGTAATTGCCGGAATCCTCTGCTTTGACTGTGCGGATGATGAAGCTACCGTTGGTGTGGACGCTCCGTCGGCCATCCACCAGGACAGGCGCAGGTGTCCCATTGGTGCTGCAGAATAATAAAGTGGATAATATCGACTGTACGCATTACAAGCCAAAACAAAGCATGCTGCCACATTACATTGGAAATGTGTTAAAAAAACGAATGTACCCTTTATGATAATTCTATTTAGGAATAAGATTGTTACTGTGTTCCATATGAGGCTCGCGGGTGTGTTGGAGTCTATCCGCCAACCAGATTAAGTCTGGCGCGGGAAGAGTTGATGCTGGTGAAGAGTTCATGTTCTTTGGCAAACTGCGGTTCTGAAGAGCAGACACACACACACGCAGAAGCTCGGCTTTTTGACTTGCCCGGCACGATTCATAACATCCATCCACCAATTCATCCATCATACCTTTCCCGTGTGTTTTAGCTTCAATGATCTCACTAATTCGGCCTGGCCCAACAGCGTTCTGGGCGGTCAAGGTGAATTTATACCAGGTGCCACACTTTAAATTCTCCAGACGGTACAAACGCTCGCTGGGACTGATGGGAAAACTGCCCCACTGCTCGCTGTTATCCTCTGAGTACTGCAGGATGTAGCCTGCCGATGAAAAGATGACAGAATATGTTCTGAAAAATCTTTCTAGTTCTGTGAACAACATCACGGTTTCGCAATCATGATCATATTAGTCTTCTAAAGATGCATTTCCTCGCCAAAAGAGTCCCCACCAAGTGGGGTTTCAGTTGTGTTTCAGTGTTTCATGAGTTTCAGCTGATACGTTATTTTACCCTGGCTGCGGTTAGTATATTTTCAGGAAAAAAAAAAAAAAAAAACAACAAATAATATTTTGAAGTCAAACATTTTTAGAGCGATTGCAAACAAATTCCAACACAATAGAACAATTGAGTCTTGTCATTGTAGCACTTCAAGATATTTTTGAACAGTAAATGGAAGGATAAAGTGATATTTGAAAGCACAACTAGGGTCATGTTTTGTGTCAGACTTTTGAAGGTTCTGCAGAGACTCTGGATAAGGTTTTAAAATGAATATGCCAGAATGTCTCACCTCTGATGGAGCTTCCGCCATTGTCTCCTGGTATCCATGACAACGTGATGGAAGTTGTGGTGGTCTTGGTCACTGTGAGACGTGGCTGATCAGGAGGCACTGCGGATGTAAAGATAAAAACACTTTGGTGCACGATGTAACATTTAGATATACAATGGACCACTGCATACTTGCGTTGCAACTAATATGGGCATTCATTTTCTTTTTTTAGAGTAAATCATTCTCGTAAAAGTCTTGGTTTTTTTTTTTGTTTTTTTTCTTTACATGAATTATCCGTGCGTGATGACTTGCCTTGAACCTGCAGGTTAAGCGTGATCTCATCTGAGCCCCAGTTGTTGCTGGCCACACAGCTGTAATTGCCGGAATCCTCTGCTTTGACTGTGCGGATGATGAAGCTACCGTTGGTGTGGACGCTCCGTCGGCCATCCACCAGGACAGGCGCAGGTGTCCCATTGGTGCTGCAGAATAATAAAGTGGATAATATCGACTGTACGCATTACAAGCCAAAACAAAGCATGCTGCCACATTACATTGGAAATGTGTTCAAACGAATCTACCCTTTATGATAATTCTATTTGGGAATAAGGTTGTTACTGTGTTCCATATGAGGGTCGCGGGTGTGTTGGAGTCTATCCCAACTGCCTTCGGGTAGTAGGCAGGGTACACCCTTAACTGGTTGCCAGCCAATTGCAGGGCACACATAGACCAAGCGCGCACACGCTCACACCTAGAGACAATTTAGAATCTTCCATTAACCTGCCATGCATGTTTTTGGAATGTGGGAGGAAAACTGGAGTACCCGGAGAAAACCCACGCAGGCACGGGGGGAGAACATGAAAAGTCCACACAGGAAGGGCGAACCCACGGCATCTGCACTGTGAGGCAGACGTGCTAACCAGTCGATCACCATGCCGCCCTGCTTATTTACTTTCAAGGCAAATTAATAAATTTCAAGTTTGATTTGAGTTCAAAAGAAGACAATACGTAAGAGTGAAATGTTCAAACAAAGGAAACAAATCCAAATTAAATTCATTTAATAATCAGCTGTGTTGCGGTCCACTTTTTGGAGAATCACCAACATGTATGAGTGAAGGGGGTACTCATCGTACGATAACAAGATGTGGGACGACGCGAGCTAAAAAGGGAACCACTGATAAAGTTTTTGGTGCGACAATTCTTGACGTCTGACTTACTTTCCTTTGAGCCACTTAATCGTTGGAGAAGGGTCCCCAACATATTTGCACGGCAGAACAATGTCCTTCATCCAAGGAGTGGTCACCGTACCATTAAAGGTTAAAATTCTGGCTGGAGCTAAATATAACACACAAGCAGTGAAACAAACTGATGAGAGAATCATACAAGGGCAGACCACTTATCCTCGACCTACTGCACCTTTAGGCAGAGGCTCCACTGTGATCTTCTCACTGTTGTTGCCATGACCGGCGGCAGTCACAGCCACCACCCAGATGCTGTACTGCCTGTTCCGAGCCAAATTTGTGATCCTGTAGAAATATACGTCGGGAGAGGCCTCAAACTCACTCATCACCTGCAAATTGGAGAGGAGAAGAGATTACTGTATCACTGTGGGGGCCACCGTATTCCGACGTCCTTGTCACACAGCGTTGCGATATGAGTCATCCACATTACAAGACCGACGTAAAAAGAAAAGAAGAAAAAAAAAAGGTAATTCTGTGGCACACAAACACTATTACCATCGGATGCAGGTTTGAGCAGAAGACGATGTACTTCCGAATGATGCCGTTGAGTTTGAGAGGTGGCATCCAGGAAACATACACCACAGAGCTGCTTGAGGCAGCAGCCTTCACACCTGCAGGGGGACCAGGAACTGGGATGGACAGAAATAAGTCAAACTCAGAAAAGGAAATATATATGCAATCCTATAGGGGGGATACCATGACTTTCTGTCAAAAAGAAAATAACTTTGAATTCTGTGTTGTTGTTTTTTTTAAAGTATGTATCTAAAGACGAAAAACATTAATCTCTGAGCATGATGCAGGGCATTTGCACCGCCGCCAGCGACAACCACAGTGATAATTAGTGACACTCAAACCTGAGTATTTTTATCTTTAAGATATTTCTAACAGACTTTTTGCAGTGTATCTCCTTCGAAGGAAGGTGTCGTTAGATCAATTCAGTGCACGGCAACGAAAGGAAAATAATGTGAGGAATTACAAAGCAGACTGAACATACGGAAAGGGTTCCAGAAAACAAGAAAACAGGAACATTTGGTGTACTGTTGTGTTTGTTTTCCATTGCGGTGTCTTACCATCCTCTTTGGTCCGCACGTAGATCTGCTCACTGCGAACGCCATCTCCAGCATTAGTGAAGGCCAACACCTGAATGCTGTAGTTAGTGTACTTCTCCAGACTACCCAGTTCCAGAGATGGCTGACTGGTGGTTATGTTCCTGATTTCTCCGAGTTCTAACACATGAGATGGGGGGTGGGGGGGGGGTGGGGGGGTGTATGAATTCATGAGACGAACATGAATAATAGTCATTGAAGTTTTATCGTGTGTGTGTGTGTGTTGGTGTTTGTATGCGTAAACAATATACAGACCAGCACCAACTAACGGAGATTAAAATAATAATAATAATACAAAAGAATCACAGATAGATGGTTACTTAATCAGATGAATTTTGAATTATTGTGGAATTTAAAAAATAAGACTCAGGGACAATATGGTGTATATGATGTGGGTAAAATGCTGTTCTGGTTCAGTATAATGATGCAACAGTGCCCCCTAGTGCAATACTTATGAAAACCCAGAATTGGAAACAAAAACAATGACTGGATGAATAATAACAACAGCAGCAGCAGCAGCAACAACAACAATAACAATAATAATAATAAATCTGTAGTTACATTTAAATGTCATTAACTTGCACTGATCTTTGTATAATGTGAGCATATCTAGAGTACCAGTATAATGATGCAACAGTGCCCCCTAGTGCAATATTTATAAAAACCCAGAATTGGAAAAAAAAACAATGAATGGATGAATAATAACAACAGCAGCAGCAACAACAACAATAACAATAATAAAAATAAGGCATCTGTAGTTACATTTAAATGTCATTAACTTGCAATGATCTTTGTATAATGTGAGCATATCTAGAGTATGTTCATACCTCCGTCAGGCAGATTTGCCCAGTAGATGACTCTGTAGCCCTGCAGGTTTCCATTGAGAGCCTCTCTCGGAAGCTGAATCCAGGAGAGAGAGGTAACATCGGGGGACTTGGCCACAGCCAGCACATTTTCAGGAGAGTGACAGTGTGAGATGTTCCGTGTAGGGGGTTAACTGTACTTAATCACTTCTCTGGAAAGATTATTTCCTTATGTATGAAAAATGACAAATGACACATTTTGAATAAACTAAATTTGCAAAGCGCGATAAACATGGACTCATATACACACACACACACACACACACACACACACACACACACACACACACACACACACACACACACACACACACACACACACACACACACACAAGGCACAGTCCTCCCATGCTTACCGTCCTCCAAGGTTTTGGTGACCACCTGCTGCGAGGACGGACCAGTCCCGGCCCGGTTAGCCGCTTGGACAACCACGCTGTACTGTGTGAACTTCTTTAGGTTGTCCAGCACAATGCTCTCCATTGTGTCTCCTGTGGTGTCCACGCTGATGATGGTGAACTGGTGGCTTCCACCGGGGCTGTACTCCCTGTAGCCTACCTGGTAGCCTCGGATCACGCCGTTCTGCAAGTGCTTGTGGGGAGGCTGCCGTAGATGAGAAATAATCAATCACCATATCAGCACTTTTGAGGAGACAACAGATGAATAAATAGACAGAATTTGGAGACAATTCTTGAATTGCATCTCATTACATTGAGCAGGCCTATCCGTAGTGAGGCCTGTTTGTAGATGACTGGGCTTCCCTGATCACGACAAAGTTTCAAAATTCGGTTTCAATCTTGTTTCCTTCACTGTTTCAGTGATTCGATTAAAGCACAACAATTACTTGGCTTAGGATAATAATCTTTCTACAACTTGAACCGCAAGCTCGACAGAATCTGTTTCAATGATCAAAACGCTATGGCAGATTTTGTCTTTTTCAGTTTTTCTTATTCCTTTAGTATGGGGGTTAATGAATTTCTGGCAGGTTGAAAGAAAACCAAACACCAACAACAAACATGCACCATGCTACAAATGCCCCCCCAGGCCAGACTTTGGACCCCACTGTTAATGTGCCGTCGACTGTCACTCTACCTTCCAGGAAACTTTGATGCTCTGTGGGGAGGTGGGCTCCAGAATAACATCTTGTGGAGGACCATCAGGAGCTGCAGAAAGAAATCTATCAGTCAACATTACCATGCACTTGTGTCTTAAATGGGACGGATGATAAAACCACTAAGAGCAATTTAGTTGACACGTTTAACTTCACTAGAGGGTGCTGTCGAGTTAAAAATATGGGATCTGAGTGCTCACGATTCTTAATGTGCCTTGCAGTTTAATAGCATAATAAAAAAACAATATTCACATTTAAATGTGACAAATGCTTTACTTACTTTGAATTTCATGCTTTATCTCATTAATTTAATGCGCCCACAGGGAAAGTACGAAATAAATTAACATTTATTGTAGTGGCTAACACGCCGGAATGATGGGTAATATAAAAGCCCCCGAATAACTGCATGTTACGGTCAACTCTAGTTATCTCATGACAAACTTTCACTCACAGGTATTCATGGGTGACCATGTTTGTATGGGATCAAGCATGCTCTGCTGGTTAGTGATAGTGGCTTCAGCTGGAACAAGGGCTAACGCATCAATTAAGTCCAAGACGCATTCTCCACTTGAATTCATGAAAGCCACACCTCTAAAAGACGCCTCCATCGGGCATTGTTTTGAACATATTTCCTAAAATAGTGAGTTTGTTTTAAACCTGAATCTGCCATAACTGAAATAGAGGCATCATATTTTCTTTGTGTCGCTGATGGTGTAGTGGCACACTTGCCCGACTTGTGTGTGAGCAGCGTGGAATCGGTTCCCACTCAGTGACGGTGTGGATGTGAGTGTGAATGGTCTCAATATGTGCCCTGTGACTGACTGGCGACCACTTCAGGGTATAGTCTGCCCCCCCAAGTCAGCTGGGACAGGCTCCGGCAACTTTCCTGTTCAGGGTAAGTGGTGTTGAAAATGGATGCATGTATGGATGGATGGATATTTTCTCTCTCTCAAGGAAAAAAAGGAACAGGGGGTTCCACTCAGAGGCTGTAATTACCTTTCCTATGGCATTTGGTAATACCATGTGTCCTGGTAAATGCCATCATTACAACACACCACTGCAGATCACAGAGGTGGCATGCATAATGCTCAAGCTGCTGTATGCAGCAACCAGTAGGACAAACACAAGTGAGTCAAAAATTGATTTGGCTGAATTTATGATTAAAATATATACAGATTTTAAATACTGCATCGTATTACAAAATTGCAATGCAGAAAGGCCTCCTAGTAGTAAACACTTTAGTCCTGCTAGATGCCCAAAGATGAGTGAAAAATGCCTTAGGTAGGCCATGATATGACAAAAAAAAGAGTGAGTCGCTTTCGAACCGGCTTCATCAGTGGTGATGGTGAGTTCGTTGCTCGGGTTGCTGTTGCCGATGACGTTCTTGGCAACCATGCGGATGTTGTAAGTGGAAGAAGGGTGGAGGTCAATGATGGTGGCCTGGTTGAGCTGCGGTGACACATCTTTGGTCACTTGGGCTGAAAGCCATGAAGCTGGAGGGAAAAACAGAAAGACGGGCAATCAGAAATGATAACGCGTCATCGTGCGGACACACGCCAAATGAAAAGATGCTTATCAAATGAAAAGAAAACAATGACACAGTGTGTTTTTATAATGGGATGCATTATATAAGTTTAGACCGTTAGTGACGCAGCTTGCCTCAAGATTCTGCAGATCATGCTTTCATTATACTACTTCAGTACATCTATGTTCCAATTGGAAGTGCCGTAATTCAAGTTTTTTTTCCCCTACATCTGATTTAAGATCGAATCAATGATCAGTACCTGATTTGTTCTTGCATTCTATGTCATATCCTATAATGGGGCTGTTTCCATCAAAGCCCATAGTCCAGCGAAGAGCGATGGTCCTGTCTTTGACTTCCCGGATCTCCACCTCAGGAGGGTCAGGAGGCTCTGTGGTCAAGTGTGAAGAAAGCAAATACAATTACAGAACGTTTGCTTGGATCAGAGCAATTCTTTTGATTTGTATCTTTGTTTCTGTCAAAGAAACAATGAATATAAGGACATCAAGGAGCATATTTTCAGATCATACAAAGGAGACGTGGTTTGGAAAGGCTTCAGGCAAGAGCCAGAAATGTACTTTTTAAAAAATGTCAATGTGTAGAAAACATTTGCAAGTGGTGGAATTTAAGTGAACATTTTTTTTAAAATTATCCCTTTGGAAGTGTTTTACCTTGCACAGTAAGCTGTATGATTCCTCGATCTTCTCCAAAGGAGTTGATGGCGTGGCAGGAGAAGAAACCAGAGTCCTCGCGCACGGTGGGCATAATCTGTGGAGAGAAAACAGACAATTCCTCTGACTAAGAAAGAGAGTCACACTGTCACTGTAAAATCTGAATGAATTCATCAAATAGCAGAGTTGGAAGAGGAAAGTAATGTGGAAGAACATATTTCAGAATCGTCAGAATCTTAAATACCGTGATCACTTGGAGGCAAGAGACTAATCTAGTTTTCGTCCAATGACTTACCCAGAGACAGATTTCCTTTTGCAGATTTTAAAGTGCAGCTGTACACTCACCACCAGCGTTGAGATGACTTCGTCGGCCACCTCCTTGACGGTGACTATGTATCGGCTGGTCTCGGGGTTGATGATGCGTTCTTCTTTGTCCCAGCGCACCATGATGGGCTTCTCTCCATGTGCGATGCAACTCATCTTCTTCTCCTCCCCCTGTGTGGCCAAGGTGGTGTTGGGATAGGATGTGATCATCGCCGGGACTAGAAGTGGACGACACAGAGGGAACATGAATTGGTAAGAAGAACGAAACCGGCTGGGATCACCATAGTTGTCATACCATCCTTTTGAATGTGGGAAGAGGCCAATAAGACATGATCATTAAAAAGTCACAGAAAAACTATGAAAATAAGTCATGATGTCCAAGCTATTTCAGCATTTATCGAGGTAGGTTTTCAATAACCTAGCGTATTTCCTTTGCACTCGCGCAGGAATCCGGAGCCACGACATGTATATGCTCATGTGCAAAAAAAGAAATGTTGTCGGAAAGGCAAAAAAATACCAACTTTGGAGATATACCTCATTGCTGCAAAGCAACGGTATGGGATTTTACATTTGTAATGTATTTATTTGTTAGTGTTTTGGCACACAGTTTGTCGAAGGATCCGGTTTGGTATCGTTATTTGTAAATGCATTGAAAAAAAGATATAAAATGTGTATTTCCAGCAACACACGGCGAACATGTAACTTTTTCTAAATTCTCGGCGCCTGCTTTGATGATGACAGTGAGCGGTAACGTGCAGTTTTTTGAGGAAGAGGCTGCTGAGACGAGGAAGAAAGCCGTGACTCCTGACTGAACTCCCATCGGTCTGATCGTGGAGTCGATCTGGCAGAGTGCCGTAACCACACACCGGACTCATTATCAACACAACTAGTCAGCGAGTGCGTGTGCGAGTGCATGTGCGTGTGTGTGTGTGCGTGTGTGTGTGTGTGTGTGTGTGTGTGTGTGTGTGTGTGTGTGTGTGTGTGTGTGTGTGTGTGTGATTGAGCAGAATGTTTATAAATTGTTAATGTCTCTCACTCAGACTGCTTCGAGTCTTTTTATGCATTCTCACACCTCCTTTCATACCTCTCACATAAGGCCGATTAGTCCAAAGATTTTGGGCTACAATGATCAGGCAAAAGTGTGAAAGTGCTGAATTGGATTACACCACATTAGTTCGGAAGCTCTGAGCAGAGAGCGTGAAGGTACTAATCTGTATCACCGAGCACATTATGGGTATTTTCCTTCTTCTTATCATTGATCCTGGCCTCCCCGTGTGGAGTTTGCATGTCTCCCCATGCCTGCGTGGTTTTTTTCCAGGTACTCCGGTTTCCTCCGTCATTCCAAAAACATGCATGGCAGGCTGATTGAACACTCTAAATTGTCCCTAAATGGATGTTTCGGTGTGCATGTGCCTGATTATTACATAGCATGAGTGTGTGCGTGTGAGAGCAGCAGTGGTGTGGGGCTGAGCGGGCAAGCAGAGCAACTCGTGCTCTTGACACATCTCAGCCACACTACACGATGGAGGATGGTGAGAGAGCATGTACCCCTGCAGCGCTAACTATGATCCCTTTCACTCCCTCGTTCCATGTGCCTCCTCAAGCTCTCACCAGGACAGCCATGATTTAATGATGAGAGAGACCACTTTGATTATTCATACGCAGCAGACAGGTCCGCTGGGCACGCTGGTGTCTCACGCACACATTAGAATAGGCATGTGTATGGAAGCATGAAGACAGACGCACACACTTGTGCACTTTTAGAAAGTCTTGAATAAAGACGTTATATTATATACACTATATATATATATATATATATATATATATATGAAATCAAAATACACAATCAAAATATGAATGCTGATATTTTTTGTAATGTATTATTCAATTTATAAATGGCTTTATTTCAAATCATTCTTTGAAACTGATGCTGTGCGCGTGAGACGTTTAATGCTCATCTCTTATTCACTGGCGGCCCCTTCTGCTTCCTCCCTGATGCCCCATACCATCATCTCCCTTCCAACGTCCCTATGTAGGAAATTGCTGATTTATTTTGCATTGGCACTATGAATTTTAAGTACGGTAAGTCCTATTAAAAGAGGCCGCGCTCTAAATGGTATTGCTTCTTAACGGGGCCTATTTTTGCCTTCGAAATCTGAAGCCGTGGCAAAGCAAGTTCAAACTGATGAGGACGGTGTTTGCTCAGTGAACAAAAAAAAAAAAAAGAAGAAAAGCGATGCATTTACACCATACACATTTATGCAAATGTTGCATTCAGAAATGTAGGTATGTACATACAGGCTTTAAAATAGTTTTTTTTTGTTTGAAGAGCAGTTTTGCAAATCAATTACTTCATTTGACTTGTCATTTTCCAAATTTGAGCAGCAATTTTTTTCCAGGTTAATCCCAGGCAGATGAAGCAAGAATTTTTTAAACAAAAAAAATACAACAATATGACGGGCGAGTTGAAGGTAGGGCTGCAAGTGCATCATCAGGTATGGATGAGGTAAAGAGTCTTACTTTTGACAGTGAGGTACATGGACTTGCTGACGTCAGCGCCCACATCGTTGCTGACCTTACACAGGTAAAAGCCGTTGTCGTCCTCCAGCACGTGTTTGATCAGCAAAGAACCATTACTCAGCTGCTGGATGCGAGAGCCGCTGTTCAGGAGGATGGGCTGAAACAGGGGGACGCCTGCACCTGTGGCATCGAAAGGGACACTATTTAGTTGACATACAGGATTGATTTACAGTATATCAGGGGTGGGCAAACTTTTCTGTTCAAGGGCCACATTTGATTTTCAAAACGGACCGATGGACAAGGTCATTTGCAGATGTGAATGTAGAAAAAGTAAACCAATGTATTGATTCATAAAATAATATTCCAATGGTGGGCCTGATAAAAGAATGGCGCATCCCGTATGCGGTCCAAGGGCTATATTTTGCCCGTGATTATTTTTAATTTAAATATTTGGCTGAACTGCAAAAAAAGTAGGCTACTTAGTTAGTTAGTTAGTTAGTATTACAACAGCTGGCACATTTGGACATTGGAGGCAGGTTTACAATGACCGGGATGAATTAAGTGCTGATTCAAACCAAAATAAAATGAATTTATCACACAGATTTTGTATAAAGTCTGATCAGATAGTGTATTTGCATACCTAATTAAGTTTCCAGTGGGTGTATAAATACATATTATCACATGTTGGCATGACCCAGACCTAGATGATTACGATGCCCACTCTGTGTGCTTTCATTTGAGCACATGTGTTTACAGATTTGACCACAAAGCCTGTCAGATTTCGGAAGGATTGTAAACATGTTTCTTAACACCGGGTCTAAATCCTTAAACCGACCAACAGCTGCCGAGTGCGGTGTCGAGAGCTGAGCTACCGAAGTGATGCAATCAGAGCGGACGTAATGCTCATGTTGAACAAGGCGACAGATTGGTGGCAGAGGGAGAGTCTCAATGTGAGGCTTTGCCAGTCGGATGGACTGTATTTAGATAAGGATTAATATGCATGTGTGAGTGGACAACTCCCAGGATTTTTTGTTTGTATAAAAGATAATGAAACAAGAGGACAATTATTTGTGTTAATGACTTTTAAAAATGATGTCATGGCCCTTTAACAGAAACAATCACAACATGGATTTTTCTTGATAACAAATAGAGTTGATGAACAGCAATGTTCTGAAGTCTGACGTAAATGTCACAAACTGCCGCATGCGAGAAAGTAGTCTTAAACTCGGATGTGTCACTAACAAGGACATGGATAAGAGTTAAGTCCTCAGGAGGACTACCTGTGAAAGTGTTGCGTTTCACCTTGCTCATTTATAGTCAAATGCATTTGAACTAAGTTAGACATTAAAACACTGCATGTAAAGATCAGACCATTTAGTGAGCTTTATTTGTTTAGTTTTTTTTTGCTCTTAAAATTAAAAGGCAGGCGAGTGGCCTGGAGAGCCGATCGAGTCAAGTGGTGACTCTTTCTGTTCCTTTAGCTCTGAGCGCAAAGCCAGGGAGACGTATTCCTCCTTGAATGATGGTTTTTGCATATACAATCAGAGCTGGTTTCTATGCTAATAGCAGCTGACCTTTACTTAGGCTTCCATATTTCCGACAGACATTCATCTGGCCCTCAGCTACCAAGGTTGCTGTAAAAGGAAGCCAGACCGCCATTCCCTGAACAAACTCACACACAAGCTCAGAGTTTGGAAGGCCTTCTTTGTGTTGTGCTCCCACAGCACATCTCGTGAGACTTCAGCTCAGTGAGCATTTTAAGGATCAACACATCAGAGGGAAACACGATGTTGGTGAGTTTGATCGAGTTTGATTGAGGTACAGGCAGACGTGTTTGGTGCATGTCATCGGCTTTCATTTACAGTTATGACAACAGTGTGCATGGAACCCTCTGAATCACTACAGAAATCAGTTCATTTGAATGCATTCTTATTTTCATTATCTTTGTTCATTTTTTTTTTTTTAATCCCCTCGGCTGCTACACAGCTATATGTGGGAGGGTGTCACACGTGGAAACAAATGATCAGGGTGGAAAGCGGTCTCAAATCACAGATGTGATCTATGATTTTCCTGACCAACTTTACATCGTCTGCCCTTGGAGGTCTGCTTGCAGCTCCTTATGAGCATACTTTGCATGCTTCAATCCCCACCATGGACCCAGAAAAATAGTTTCTGCCTCCACCATGTCAAAGACTGTGTGCCTTTTGAAACAAATTTAAAGGGAATGAGAGGAGCCATTTCCATGGGCCTCGAAACTAGTCGATTGTGCTCCAACCCACAACAGCGCAAACCGTGTATGTATTTTGAACTGTGTGCGTCTGCCAAAATTAAACAAAACCTTATCTATGTGCACGGTTTGACTGTGCTGCGAGCTAGACTTGCGCTGGACACCTATGAAGAACCTATCAGGTTTATTAGATTGACATTCAGCCACCAAATTGTCAATCCGCCAGGCGCTTCCCTAAGACACTCCTGTTGTACTAGCCCGCCAATCTTGGCGGAGACCGGTTTGCCAAACTGGCAAACACACACAACAAGCCCTGCTTTGATAGAAAAACTAGGAATCACTGCTATGTGATGCCTAGGTATGAAAACTGAGTCACTCCAGAATTTACTTTCGATTATCCATTTCTCTTAAACATAAAAACGACCATTTCACTTTCCACATAGAAGAGTTCTAATATTTCACTGGATATTTCTGTGGATTTATACCGGACATATTGGACTAAAAACTTGTGTGTGTATAAATGATGCGTATAATTTCCTCTTACTCTGACTAATGCAATGTACCGAGAGTTCTTTGAAAATCTGTGACAGGGGCCTGAGATAGCAATCAGGAATGTTCAGATGGTGTTAATCAGGCCTGTCTTTCTCTCTTTTTGTGTGTGAGTGTCTTTCTCTCTCTCTCTCTTTCTCTCTTTCTCTCTTTCTCTCAACCCCCTCACTCACACACTTTTTTTGAATCACTACAGAAATCAGTTCATTTGAATGCATTCTTATTTTCATTATCTTTGTTCATTTTTTTTTTTTTAATCCCCTCGGCTGCTACACAGCTATATGTGGGAGGGTGTCACACGTGGAAACAAATGATCAGGGTGGAAAGCGGTCTCAAATCACAGATGTGATCTATGATTTTCCTGACCAACTTTACATCGTCTGCCCTTGGAGGTCTGCTTGCAGCTCCTTATGAGCATACTTTGCATGCTTCAATCCCCACCATGGACCCAGAAAAATAGTTTCTGCCTCCACCATGTCAAAGACTGTGTGCCTTTTGAAACAAATTTAAAGGGAATGAGAGGAGCCATTTCCATGGGCCTCGAAACTAGTCGATTGTGCTCCAACCCACAACAGCGCAAACCGTGTATGTATTTTGAACTGTGTGCGTCTGCCAAAATTAAACAAAACCTTATCTATGTGCACGGTTTGACTGTGCTGCGAGCTAGACTTGCGCTGGACACCTATGAAGAACCTATCAGGTTTATTAGATTGACATTCAGCCACCAAATTGTCAATCCGCCAGGCGCTTCCCTAAGACACTCCTGTTGTACTAGCCCGCCAATCTTGGCGGAGACCGGTTTGCCAAACTGGCAAACACACACAACAAGCCCTGCTTTGATAGAAAAACTAGGAATCACTGCTATGTGATGCCTAGGTATGAAAACTGAGTCACTCCAGAATTTACTTTCGATTATCCATTTCTCTTAAACATAAAAACGACCATTTCACTTTCCACATAGAAGAGTTCTAATATTTCACTGGATATTTCTGTGGATTTATACCGGACATATTGGACTAAAAACTTGTGTGTGTATAAATGATGCGTATAATTTCCTCTTACTCTGACTAATGCAATGTACCGAGAGTTCTTTGAAAATCTGTGACAGGGGCCTGAGATAGCAATCAGGAATGTTCAGATGGTGTTAATCAGGCCTGTCTTTCTCTCTTTTTGTGTGTGAGTGTCTTTCTCTCTCTCTCTCTTTCTCTCTTTCTCTCAACCCCCTCACACACACACACACACACACACACGCACGAATCCCATCAAAGGTTGAAAAACAGATATTTCATTGTTTTGATCATAGAACCAAGAGCATAGACACACTTGCACATGGTCACACGCACACTTGCACAAATCCCCATCGGTTGCTGTCTTTCTGTTGGTGAAGCTTTCATCCCTGGTTACATGGATGAGGTAGCAAACACCTGGGACCTCGCTTCATGTGCTCTGCTCGTGAGGCTGAACTCACCTGCTGCCTTCCTGTCCGTATGCCAGGCTGCCTTATTGTTCTTCTATGCCCCGATGTGTTGCCTGTTTTTCTAAAATCGGGTCTTTCTCGGCGATAATGCTGTGAGGATTTGGGGTGACAACTTGCAAGACCGTTTTAGCTGAACAGATGGATATGTGCGCTTTGTGCATGCATCAATATGCCCCAACCTCTTCATGTGTATAAATGCACCCGTGTGCACCACCTAACTAAATACAACTCAGCCTACTCAAAACAAAACAAATACAAATCCCCACCAATGAATCATCTGTGTTTACTGACAGGTGTCTTAGGTGAAAGTATCCTTTTACGGCAAGTATTGTACCTTTAGAGTGCTCCCATACAATGGTGGGTGGTGGGTATCCTTCAGCAGAGCAGTTGAGAGTGACAGTTTTCCCATAGATCCCATCTTGGTCCTCGGGTTGAACCACAAACTGAGGAGGAACTGTACGCACACAACAGTTTATATAAATGTAATGTTTCATTGTTTTGTACGCATTTTTAATGAAGTCATGATGATCCGAGTAGGCATAATGCAGTGGAAGGGGCATGTGAGTCATATTTATTCACATGAATCAAATCCCTGCTCTGTATTGTATGTAAATGTATGCCAGGACATTTACAAGTACCATAATAATATTTGGTGGTGCACTGCTCCAAGTTGCCACTGGCCTCACCTCGAACAATTAGCTGACTCTGATGCTCCACAGCGGCCGCTTCATTGCGGGCAATGCACGTATAGTTGCCATTGTGGTCAGGCGTCAGATTGGAGATTCTCAGTGAGCTGGTGAAATCAATGTTATCCACAGTCACACCCAGGCTAGTCGGGATAGGTCGTCCATCTTTTTGCCAGGTAATGTCCAGAGGCCGGTCACCTGACATGACCACGCAAGGGATGAAGACGCGCTGACCGATGGTGAATCGCTGAAACTCAAAGGGCTGAATGTAGGGAGGGACTGAAGACAGAGCAGTGGAGACGAGTGGGGGCGAGGAGACATACAAAGGAAGATAGTCTGTAATTAGAAATAATTTCAGATGTCAGAGCGCATTTATTTCTTTAAATTCAACTGACATCCTGTAATTTTCTAACTGCAGCACTTCGGAAATGTCTTTGAAGGAACATAGTGAACCTGAAATGCAAAGAATTCTGTACTATGTAATTAAATTCTTGACGTTCACCTTTAACGGCTTTCACATTTACATTTATCTTATGCATAGTAGCCCAGTGTTTGTTTTATAACCTGATGAATGTCCTGGGGAATGCTTAAAATTGTCAACGTATAAATCGATAACCGTCAAATTTCTTCATGAATGTAAATGCAGACGTACTACAAGAAGGTGCAAAAAACGGTGCTAAAATCGAAGAACAGGAAAGCCAGATGTTAAAATGTGGAATGTTCTGGAATACATTTCTAAACAGATGAAGCACAAGTGCATCAGAATGCTGGGAAAAAATATGTACGGAGAAAAAGAAAGAAATACATGCTCATCCAAAGCAGACCACACCATGTGTCAAACATGATGGAGACGGTGTTTGGACTACGATTTCACAAATGTATGTCCATGAAAATTCTACAGCTCGAGAACATTTCTGTACATTTTGGGCCATAGAATTGTACAAACAGTTATGTTGGAGTTGTTCAAGGACAGGTTCAATATTTCAGCCTTGTGGGGTACTTAAGGGTGGAAGTTGACCTGTACTTATTTTCTATTTTCTATCAGCTTCCTACCACTCATCTACTGTAAACTGTATATTACCCGACCTGTACATCATACCTTCATAAAATATGTTGCCAAATGGCCTGCTTATTTAAGTAATTACAGTGATTAGGGAGGCACAATCTGGACTGTAATTAATGTATTCCACACTGCTATGTGGGTGGTTAGGACATTGATCAACAATGACAAGAATAGCACTTGAAATCAAGGTAGAATGGCAACCCGCCAACATAATAAGACAGAGTTACGCAATAAACTGTGTTAAACTTGTCTCTTGGAATTGCACGAGTCATCTTTGAGTGTCCAGTGAAATCAAATAACTGTGAAAATAAGCAGCCTTTAGCTGCTTATTTAATTCCCAACAAAGTGGAGATAATGGACTCCGGGGTTCCCCGAAGACCGCCGTGTATTTTAAGCATGAGCGGGTTGAAATTAACAAATGCATTCTCTCCGCATGACACCGCTGGGAAGTGTTGTTTTGGATCATCGGCCTCTCTTGCGTTCTCACTCTTCTCTCTCCACCTCTGTTGCCCTCGCTTCATGAGCGAGTGTTAACGTGGCGGCGGCGGCGGCATCCTCGCGTACCGATCAGACTGAAGGAAATGGAGCGTAATGGAGAAGCCCTACTTCGTCTTTCCAATTACAGCTTGTAAAGAGCTCGGCGGAGATCAGCTCTGTGATATCATTAGCACAGATACAGTCTTCATTAACTAGCCTGATGAGCTGAGGGGAAGCAGGTAGCCACATTTCTTATTCTGAGATGAATATGAAATCTTGAACAGCTGGCTGCTTGCTTTCCTGTGTGAGCTTATTTGTTTATCCGTCGGCTCGAGCCTTGCTCTGTGATGCACTTTGGAAGTTGACTCTGGTCTTGCTAATAATTGATATGAGCAAGTTTTACTTTGCAGTTGTTTCAAATTAGGGACACAGGGACCTGCAAAGGGCAAAGACTTGAGGACCCACTGTACAGAATATATTGTAGTGTGCATGCCAGGCCACTATTTGGCAGTATAGTATTAATTGGTAGTTTCTTAGGGAGTCTTCGGACAGTAGGTGGAGTACACTATCAACTGTTGCCAGCCATTCGTAGAGCACACATAGACGAACAACCTCGCAGCTCAGGACAATTTATAGTGTTCTATCAACCTGCTGTGCATGTTTTTGGAATGTGGGAGGACACCAGAGTACCCGGAGAAAACCCACGCAGGCACGGGGAGAAAATGCAAACAGGAAGGCTGGGGTCGGAATCGAACGGCGCACCTCTGCACTGTGAGGCGGACGTGCTAATCAGTCGAACACCGTGCCGCCGACATTGGACATAAAGGTAAAATATATACTTACCTCTCACACGGAGGTGAACACTTTGGGAGTCCATCTTGTTGGGTTGGACCATCACTTTGCAGTTATACTCTCCGGCGTCTACCTGCTGCACATTGGTGAGCCTCAGCGTGCCGTTGTTTTCGAAGGCCCGCTGTCGATGATTGAATGGCAACAAAGCTGAGTTCTTGTACCACTTGATAGAATAGTAAGGATAGCCAATCACACGGCAGTGAATGAAGGCATCCCGTCCAGCGATGGCGGTGACGTTTTTCATCGAACGGATGCTGGCACGGCCTGAGAATGGGAGTGGTTCAGAAAGAACTCCTTATGAGGACATTTATCAGTCGTGGTGTTAGGCTGCAAGAGCTGTGACGCTTGCTGCAGTGATGTGTACACAAAACAGTCCCTTTGCAGGAGATCACACAAGACAATGTCAAGTGCTAATAAAACAAATACCAGCTTCCTATGTGGTCCTTGCCATCAACATCGTGTTGAATTATTGCCGGTTGTTTTACTTAGCCCTCAAATTTTTCGTTTCAGCGGAAGGCGGTGGAATTACATGCAGATTCAAGTGTTCAACATCTGAGGGGAGGTTTGAATTCATGTAATAATGCATGCATAAAAAGCACAATAACGTAAAAAAAAATACGTTGAGGGCAGAAAAAAATACAAATAAAACAAATAAATGAAAGTTGTTAAGATGCACTGAGCAAAAAAAAAAAAAAAAGTTAGCTAAAGCTAATACAAACCAAGTAAATTGACAATTCTCTTGCTCAACGCTCAGATGTGTGCAGCATTCAGGCAGACAGACAGACATTCAGACAGACAGACAGGTATGTGTATTGTTGTTTTTGGAGGAGCTGATTTGACAAGCACCTCTTACGTTTATTCGAGCCTGGTGGTACACGAGGCCAGCCGAGTTGCTGCACGTGCACCGGTACACACCGCCGTCCTGCACCTGCGTGTGCGTCACGTTGAGCTGGCTGACCACGTGGCCCTCGTGGGTCTCAGAGTGTCCCAGGTGATGGTGGCTGTCTTTAATGACTGGGTCGTCGTCCAGAGACCACATGCACCGAGGCGGCGGCGTGCCCCTGACGTTGCATACCAGGAAGACGGGCTCATTCGGGTTCACCACCTTTTCGCTGAAGGAGGCGAGGATCTTTGGCGTACCATCTGCGGAGGACGACAGGACGCAATGGGGATGCGCTGATGAATAAAACATGGAGGCAGCCTACACGTAATTTCAGGGCACAATCACCAGGGTACAATCATACTCACTGGGTGGATAGAAATAATCGCCGCCTATTACTCTCGCAGATAGAAAGTCTTCCATTTTGTATTACTTTCTAACACGGACATATTTACCACCGAGTATATCGTGAGTATTGCATTTCTTTATACAGTATAGAAATCACACTGCAGGTAAAATTTGACAAAACTAGGGCATTTCTGAACTGTGTCACATTGGGTGAGACGGCAGTCACTAAACAAGTAAACGGTGACAAATATTATCGTTGATCCCAGCTTTCTCAGGCATACATTATTGAACAGTCTTTAAAATCTGCTTTGATCTACAACAACTAAAAAAAAAAAAAAAACAGTCACCTTACAACTTTGACTTTGGTTACCTCTTGAGAGCTCTTGACTGACTGATGCACACAGCGAGACATCAAATTTCCCACGAAATGTATTCATACCGAAGCATAGGCTGAAAGACAGCTCACACAATATCGCACCGAGGGAAACAATTTACACAATCAATCACGGCATGGAGCCGTTTGTCCATCCCGTCCCGACGAGTTGTCTCACGACTCTCTCGTTTTATCGCCCGTTGCCTGAAATGTGTGAGCTGAATTTGGGTGAGAGTTGGAATGGTCGCTAGTCAATCGCATGGCACAGACAATCATTCATTCATACCTGTGGACATTTTAGAGTCTACAATTACTGAAACTTGCATGTTTCGGGAGAAAACTGGAGTCCTTCGAGAAAACCCCACGCAAGCACAGTGAGAACATGCAAACTCTACACAGGACCGCCTGAGCTGAAATTTGAACCAGAACCAGGCTGATGGGCTAACCACTATTCAATCATGCCGCCATTGTTTGAATCATCATCCTCATCAATGTGGCATTGTCACAATTAAGCCTAAATCTGTTTTTGAATGCAATACTATTGGGACACATAGCCAGTACAGGTAAAGGTAGAAAATAATATATTGATCCCTTCTCTTGAGGAAAGACTTCCCAAAAGACTTTGGACTGTGTCTAGGACTTTGTCATCTAGTCCTTGAGATACGTGTCAAAGGTCTAAAATGGCTAGGGAACTCCGCTTTCTCCGGAGCCATATCCTGCTTGTTTTAGATCCCTCCCTACTCCAACACACCCGATTCAAACGATCAGCTTATCAGCAAGCTCTGTAGAAGCCTTAAACTCAGAATCATATTAACATATATACTAGAATATGTTCTCTGTATTTCTGTCATTTGGTTTGGGACATGATGGCAGCCGGAATTATTACATTTTCATTCCGGAGGTTTTAGGCAAACAAAGAGTGTAGCTGCATTTTGAAATATCTGCCATTTATTATCAGATAATCTGGGTCTGCTGCACATGATTATAGATAATCTTTTTACAGTCTCATGGCCGCAGGAGACAGTTGCCTGAGCAACACTTCCGAGGTAACCACATTACATGCATGCGCTTGTGCTTTTGCATGTGTTTGTGGCATCAGGGATAATGACATTAATGGTGCCCTATAGATGAGATGTAAACCGTACATTGATTTTTTTGTGTGTGTGTGTGTGTGTGATATTGCATATGTGTGCATGTACACAAATACTTATTGAATTGTTACCTTCAAGGATGACTTGCACAAAGTCCTGAGCAGACATTTTGCCCTTCCTGGCAAAGCACTGATAGGCCCCACCATCACTCTTTGACATTCCTTCCATGATGAGATTCTCCCGGTTGAGACCGGTGAAACGGACGTTGTTGCCGGGGTAAATGATCTCTCCGTTACGGTACCACGACAACTCGTACTCGTCGGAGCCGCTCACGCTACATGAAAGAGACACCTTGCTGCCCACGCTGCCTTTCACCTTCCGTGGGCTGACCATCGCCTTCAAAGGTTCTGAGGATACAAAGGAGGTTCGCAGCAAACTTCAAGAAGGTTTTTGTTCAACGCAACTTCATAAGAATGAAAAAGCCTCACGTCTGACATGCAGGCGGCCCATGACCTCGGCGTTGCCGTAGCTGTTCCAAACTTCACAAACATATGTCCCAGAGTCACTCGGCTGCGTGCTCTCTATCAGTAAGCCCGTGATGGTCTGGCGGAAGCGACTATCTGGCTCCAGCGGGCTGTTGTCCTTGAGCCAGCGGTACTTGGGGAACGGGTAGCCGGATGCCTTGCAGGGCAGCTCCACCCGATGATTAATCATCACGTCGCGGTGGTCGAAGCCGTCCAAGATGCCTGGCTCGGCGTTGGTGGGGTCTGGAAAGAGGCGAGTTTAGCGTTAGCGTTAATTATTTATGAGTGTCGCTCGGCATTGGGAAGCAGAATTCAATCAATGACTCTGTGGTGGAAGATTCTGTCCTTGAAAGTATATGACGTGGTAGGTGAGGAAGAGAAAGTGTGTGACAACCAACTTAAAAAAAAAGCACTGTGGATTGGGGCCTTTGTGAGCCAGCGAGCTATTAACATACAGAGAGCAGCATTACGGTCATATTGCATTTAAGCTTCACTTGTAGAACACGAAATTCTTGAATATTAGGCCAAGGACACTTTGTTTTCTTACAAGTCTTGCTTTGTCCCCTTATCGGTTCGCCGGATTACACCAAAACTACAAGCTAATTTTCTCAAGACTTGGTGAGGCTCCGGGGAATTACATGGGAGGAAGAGAGAAGGGAGAATAGAGAACGGACACATGTGGTGGCAACAAACTCAAGTTTGTCTGACTAAATTTGTGAATTGTTCTTCTTGTCGAAACAAGATGATGATGCGCCATATACTTCAAGTCAAACTTGAACTGCTTGGAAATGTCAATCATGGCTGCCGGACATCATGCGCTAAGAAGCCTATACCTCCAACTTAGTGGTATCAGTGGCCTTCTAATATTGTCACATAATCTATGACAGTGTCATTACTATGTCTCATTTCTACTCATGTACTGTATCGTGACTTCATACGGACCTGACACAATGAGACGTGCACTGTTGCTCTGTCGAGTCTCCCCAGTGTAGCGGTGACGTGTGGTGCAACGGTAGTTATTCAGCCCATCCTCAGGCAGGACGTCCAAAATGTACAAGGCTCCTGTAGGCGTGATGAGATATCTTTGTCCTGCAACACACACACACACACACACACACACACACACACACACACACACACACACACACACACACACACACACACGCACGCACGTGAGCACACAGCTACTGTGATTACATTCCACTGAGTGAGTTGTTTTGATTGCGCTCAGGCATTGAAGGCAGCGAGGGTGGTTTCTACTTTGTACAAAAGCAGAACGAACTGAGGCTTTGTGGGGGCAAAACAAGATCAAAATGGGGTGATTCACTTTAGTTGATAAAAGGGAACAGTGGGTGTTTGCGCTATTTTTGTCTTTTAAAAAAAAGAGGAGACCTGTCAATATTTGCTGAAGTGGTCTGCAGTGACTGCAGCTAGAATGCCTTCAAAATACAGTACACGGTATTGTATTTGGATTGCAGACTGGTGCAGTTTTAATATTTACTGTTGTGATTTTGGGACAAAATGGCTTCCCAGATAGGTGCTTCAAGCTTCCATGAAAAATGCATGTGCAAGCAGGTCTGTTTTCTGTGTAGCTTAACAAAATAGATGTAAGCGCCCTACGGTCGCATAACGTCAACCCCGATACATAACAAATGAAACTATCACACACTAAACGGACGTGTTACTGCTCCGATTTTCATATGCAACACCAGCACGTTCGCAACAACAAAGTCCAAAGCAATTAGCTATGAAATGTTAATCAGAAGCATTAAAATCCACTGTAATTATGTCAAACGGCAAAAGTTTTTCTTTAATACTCCGCTGGAGACTAATTTGGATGGAAGAAAAGCAAAGGCATGTTTACTATGCTTACATTTTTGATGATTAAAATTACAAAACAAAAGAAACCTTGTGGGGCTCAGCAAATGAGCGTTATGTGTGTGTGGGGGGGGGGGGAATAAAGAGCAAAGTGGCAGAGGCGAAGGAATGGCAAAGCTATTGTAAGCATTGACCTAGATAGAATAGACAACAGATCCCTCGGATTTGATGTCCTGAAGGGCTTTTACTGGTTTACATGCAGTGGAATATCCTCGGAGCAAGTGAAATTTATGAAGGTGGAGGCAAGTAGCGAGGGTCTAACCATGTGCAAGCGCGTGTGTGTGTTTACGTGCCGGCGGCACGTGTGCATGTGAGCGTTCCTGACAATAGTGGGAGGACATCTTCTCAGGGCATGAGGAGCAGTGGGGGGGGGGGGGGGGGGGGGGGGGGGGGATACAAAAGCAAAGAGACGGCTAAATATAATTTTCCAAACTTGCTGGCTACGTGTTGGTTTCATTTCTGCAAAAGCCTCCCAATATTTAACAAGTCGGTTATGAAAAGGGCGAAAAGGTAAAGACGTTTTCCCGCAGTTAACCACGATCTAGCGGCCACAACAAAACACAAGTGTCGATTGCGAAGCCGTACACTCCATTCTGCTCCTCTCATTCTTTTCTCTCCTCCCTCCCGGCTTCTCCATTTTGTTTCTGTACCGGTCCTCCAAAATCTCACAGCGGAATCCATCTTGAGTGAGACAAAATTGTATTTCACCGCAGCCGCTGGCAGCCACCGCAATTTTCTCAAGCGCCTGGATGCAACCGTATTCTTTTTAAGACATTCGAGCTCAGTTTATTGTGTGATGACAGAATGAGAGAGTGATGGGGCTGAAAAAAAAATAAGATGGACTGTGATCAAATGGATTCTGTCAACAACTTGCATCACTAATGGCTCCTTGCACTCAGGTAAAAGCAGAAAAAAAAACCCTGCGGCACATTATTAAGGTGATCAATAAAAGGATCAAAAATAAATCACTAAATTCCTAAATCATCACTGTACTCGAGTTGAATAATGGAAAATCATCATGACATTATTTGCGCATGAGATAGAATTAGACTGTATTGAAAAGATTTGCCTTGAGGCATAATCCAGGTTTGAGATTAAAGTTCACTTTGAAAGCACGATTAAAATTGGATTCAAAAAGCCTCCTGCACCTGTAAAAGTGTCTTTCTGTGAATGCACCTGCTGTGTGAATAGATTTCAGCAACGCACAAGAATGAAAGAGCTGCCATTGACACTGTGTTGAAGAAGGCGTCCTTGGTTTGAAGCGAGGGTTTTGGCATTAATGCTAGAATGCTAAGAGAGTCTCTGTGTCTTCTTTCCCCTCAAAAACCTCTGTGTTCCTGTTTGGCTCATTCTACTTCCTCTCCTGCCTCCTGCATGTTCTCTCCAGCGGTGTGCGTGTCCTGAATGCTAAAGCGGTGTTTAGTTCGCTCAGAACATTGCAATCTTGCAGCTGCTGCCATAAACATCTTCCTTTCCATCCTTATGATTTGTATCCCCTCGGGTATGTGTTAAGGTGAAAAAATGTTAAAAACGAATGCCCTAACATTGGAGCCTGACTCTTGAGAAATAAAAACAAAAAATAATGAACGCACTACGAATGAACGCTGAAAGAGGAAGTCAACCCTAAAATATATTGACAATGATAATATAAGGGACCTGAGCCCTTCATTACTGTGATGTCATTTTCAGTCGACAGTAAGTGAGTTGTGTGATGACAGAATGAGAGAGTGATGGGGCTGAAAAAAAAATAAGATGGACTGTGATCAAATGGATTCTGTCAACAACTTGCATCACTAATGGCTCCTTGCACTCAGGTAAAAGCAGAAAAAAAAACCCTGCGGCACATTATTAAGGTGATCAATAAAAGGATCAAAAATAAATCACTAAATTCCTAAATCATCACTGTACTCGAGTTGAATAATGGAAAATCATCATGACATTATTTGCGCATGAGATAGAATTAGACTGTATTGAAAAGATTTGCCTTGAGGCATAATCCAGGTTTGAGATTAAAGTTCACTTTGAAAGCACGATTAAAATTGGATTCAAAAAGCCTCCTGCACCTGTAAAAGTGTCTTTCTGTGAATGCACCTGCTGTGTGAATAGATTTCAGCAACGCACAAGAATGAAAGAGCTGCCATTGACACTGTGTTGAAGAAGGCGTCCTTGGTTTGAAGCGAGGGTTTTGGCATTAATGCTAGAATGCTAAGAGAGTCTCTGTGTCTTCTTTCCCCTCAAAAACCTCTGTGTTCCTGTTTGGCTCATTCTACTTCCTCTCCTGCCTCCTGCATGTTCTCTCCAGCGGTGTGCGTGTCCTGAATGCTAAAGCGGTGTTTAGTTCGCTCAGAACATTGCAATCTTGCAGCTGCTGCCATAAACATCTTCCTTTCCATCCTTATGATTTGTATCCCCTTGGGTATGTGTTAATGTGAAAAAATGTTAAAAACGAATGCCCTAACATTGGAGCCTGACTCTTGAGAAATAAAAACAAAAAATAATGAACGCACTACGAATGAACGCTGAAAGAGGAAGTCAACCCTAAAATATATTGACAATAATAATAGAAGGGACCTGAGCCCTTCATTACTGTGATGTCATTTTCAGTCGACAGTAAGTGACAAAATGGCCGCCTCCTGAGATGGATAAAAACGAGTGGATTTTTTTCGCTTGACTGATATTCTACAATGTTAATCATATCGAACATATTATTATAAAGCAGCGGTCCCGAACCTTTTTTGCCCCATTGACCGGTTTAATGTCAGACAATATTTTCAGGGACCGGCTTTTGAGGTGCGACGGATAAATACAACAAAAAAATATTATATGACTTGCATGAAAACTGTGGTATTTTCTAAACATAATAAACATGAATCATGACACGAGGAACGTCCTATCTGGCCGCAACACATTCTGGTCGCTATGGTAACGTTTCAACATGCCATCAAAATAAGATACGCCGCAAATACAAAGTGCATGAAAAATACGACTCACCATAGCAGCATGTTATGCAGACTGGGCTTGAGATGAATCTGTATTTTAAGTAGGACTCCTGATACTGTCTATTAAATTTAGTCTTCTTTTTCTTGAAAGTCGTAGGCTTCTCTTCTGTCTCCTGGCTGGGCCTTTTCCCCTTCCCAAAGACGTGTGTTTTTTTACTCATTTTGCTAGCTCCCGGATTTCATTTTAGCGGTAACCTATCACGTGACCGAGAAGCGCTCCTTGACCTGCATCAAGAGTGACATACTGTAGACGGATGTAACAGAGGAGCAGGTAATATTTCAAAATAAAACACCTTTCAGAGTCCGAAATAAATTAAACGGAAGTCATGTAAGTTATTTAGTCTTTCTGTGAACATTTTTGACTTGACTTCCCCATTTACACTAAAACTAACAAACAAGCTTTTTCTGAAACATCGTCAAATAAGTACTGGCCGATCATTTTGGTGCCAAGCAAAGTTTGGACAAGCACCGGAAATAACTCTCAACACACATTATCAGAAAGAGTAAGCAACAAAGCCACTACTGTCTGCTATGAAACATTTGAAGATGTTAATTTGGGGTTGTATTACACAGTGTTGCTTCAATCTGTAAAATAAGGTTGAAACGGCAGATACAAAGATTCCATTTTCCCCCCACTCCCCAAACACACACAGACGCACACACCCACAAGCAAGCGTAATTTAGAGTGGAAACTATTGTGACAAGTGGTGTTTTTGAACCACTTCTTTATATTGAAAACGGGCTCTCATTTATCATAAATTATTGCTGCGTTGTAATCCATGCAAAAAATGTCCAACTGCCATGAACGATTCATATTTAATAAACAAGCGAGCAAGTGAGGGATGTCGTCGTAAATAAATCATGAGACCGCCCCTCCACCACATCAGATTTGTACTGGGACTGGTCACTGAGATTTGCTTGACGACAGTAATGGGATTACTGCAACTGCTGAATGCGAGCATTTCAATGCTTTTTGGCGCGGCTTTTTTCATTCTTTAGTCAAATCCAAACAACGAAACACAGAACTGTCTTTACGATCAATTAAAGATTCATTGAAGATACCCTCTGTGCACTTCTGGAAAGAGGCTGTCTTGATAAAATGACCACAGATAAACATTATAATATTGTTAAGCAGCAGCCGTGTTCATATTACTGCCATTGTCATCGGGTACACGGTGTTTTCTGGCATCCCCGGAATACGAGAGTTGCAGA